AGCAGCTTTTGAGTTTAATGTTGTCCTACTTGCTGATTTTTTTTCTTCGGTGCTGTGCTGTTGGTGTTATGTCCAAACAATCATTACCAAGAAAGTCATTGTGGAGGAGCTTCTACCCTATGTTTTCTTCTAAGAGTTTTATGGTATCAGGTCTTAATGTTTAAGTCTTCAACCTATTTTGAGTTAATTTTGTGAGTGGTGTAAGATAGAGGTCCAATTTCATGTTTCTCCATGTGGTTATCTCATTCTCCTAGTACCATTTATTGAAAAGACTGTCTTTCGGGGCGCCTGGGTGGCTCAGTCGTTAAGCGTCTGCCTTCGGCTCAGGTCATGATCCCAGCATCCTGGGATCGAGCCCCGCATCGGGCTCCCTACTCCGCAGGAAGCCTGCTTCTCCCTCTCCCACTCCCCCTGCTTGTGTTCCCTCTCTCACTATGTCTCTCTCTGGCAAATAAATAAATAAAATTTAAAAAAAAAAAAAAAGAAAAGACTGTCTTTCTGCATTGAACATTTTTGGATCCCTTGTCAAATATTAGTTCAGTGTATATGCATGAGTCTATTTCTGGACTCTTCATTCTGTTCCATTAGTCTTCCCAGCTATTTTTATGCCAATACTATACTAGTTTAATTACTACAGCTTTGTGGTATAGTGTGGAATCAGGAAGTGTGATGCCTTCAGCTTGGTTCTTACTCATGATTGGTTGGACTATTCGTGGTCTTTATGGTTCCATACAAATTTTAATATTGTTTTTTCTCTTTTGTGAAAAATGCCATTAAAATTTTGATAGGATTGCATTGAATATATAATTGGCTTTGGATAGTTTTTAAAATTAAGATATAATTGGCATATAACATTGGGTAAGCATTTGGTTGACAACATAATGATTTGGCACATATATATATTGTGAAATGATTGCCATAATAAGTATAGTTAACATCCATTATCACAAATTGTTACAGGTTTTTTTTCTTGTGATGAGAAATTTAAGATCTACTCTCTTAACACCTTTCAAAATACAATGTGGTATTGTTAACTGTACTTACCATGCCAAACATTATATCCCCAGCCTTATTTGTCTTATAACTGGCAATTTGTACCTTTTCAGCCCCTCTGCCCATGACACCCACTCCCCACACCCTGCCTCTGGCAACCCCCCATCTGTATTATGATTTTGGTTGTTTTTGTTTTTTTTAAAGATTCCATATATAAGTGAGATCATACAACATTTGTCTTTCACTGTTTGACTTATCTTATTTGGCATAATGCCCTCAAGGTGTATCTGTATTGCAAACGGCAAGATTTCTCTTTTTGCGGCTGAATAATATTCCCGTGTGTGTGTGTGTGTGTGTGTGTGTATTTTCTTTACCATTCATCTGTCCTAGGTGAGCACTCTTCCGGTTGTTTTCCCAACCAGGGCAAAAGGCACTGGGCAGGTTTGCTGGCTCTGTTGGTTCTGCAGTTCTTAGTAAGGACTGCGTGCCTGTTAATAGGTACACAGGTAGAGGAGACTCATTCTGGGTCTCTTGGCATATAGTGTTGGGTTCCACAACTCCCATCAACCCATTTTTGTTCGTGGATGGATGTCAAATTAGTTTTTTTTAAAAGGGAGAGAAAAAGGAGGAACCAATGTCTTATGCTGCCATCATGCTGATGTCACTCTCTGGTACATTTTTTTTCTCACTTTTGTTTTAAGTAATCTTTACACCCAGTGTGGGGCTCGGACTCATGTCCCTGATATCAAGAGTTGCATGCTCTACTGACCGAGCCAGCCACGTACCCCTCTCTAGTACATTTTTTAAATGTGATCTTGTCTTAAATATGCTTACATAAACCAAATTCTTAATTTCAAAGTATTTTGTAACCAACCCCCTATGTAAGTTAGTATACCTCTACATTACCAGTTTTTTCTTTTTTTAGTAGGCTCCATGCCTAGCATGGAGCCCAACATGGTGCTTGAACTCAGGACCCTGAAATCAAAACTTGAGCTGAAATCAAGTGTCGGGCACTTAACCAACTGAGCCACCCAGGTGCCCCTCTACATTACCACTTTTAATGGTTACATAGCGTTCCACTATATGGCCTTAATTTATTTTGCTTACACAAACTTCAAGGACATTTTGTTTCTAGTATTTGCTTTTATAAATTAAATTGTGAGGAATCCTGTTAGTTTTAGCTATTGCCTCCTTACACTAAGCCTAGCATTCTCTACTGTGCATTGCGATATTGATGCTTGGAACTGTGTAAACCACATTTCACACTTGTCCCCTGCTGCCTGTTAGGCTTTGCCCTAGGAGACCCTACAGGAAGTTTGGAGGACAGGGTTATGGGAGGAGCAACTTCCTTCTTCCTGTTTGCAGAGTGCTTTCCTTAACATCACCCTAGCAATGGCCCTTCACCTTGGCCACTAGTGGTACACTACAGCTTCTTTTTTTGAAGTATTTAAAAATTGAGATATAATTCACGTATCATTAAATTCACTCCCTTAAGAGCAGAAAATTCAGTGGTTTCAAGTATATTCACAAAGTTCTGCAACCATCACTAGGATCTAATCCCAGCAGGTTCGCTCACTCTCCAGCTTCTTTTAGCTCTCCCACATGTAGCCATATTGATCCCTCTCGGACAGGCAGCACCAGCTGAGCGGGACACCCCTCAGAGGCATTAATTACCCCACCATGCCCTTCTGACAGTCCTGCAGTAACTGGACAGCACCCCCTGAAGGTCTGAATTCCAGTTCTGCAAGGCTCTTCTCTCAGCACCTATGATACCAGCATGACCCAGGCACCGCCCCTGCTTCAGGTGTGGAATCCTCTTCTGAGTGGCTATGTTTGAATTCTTTGACTTCTTCCATCGTGTTACCCTGGGGTGGTAGCTGCTGTCTGCAATTGTTACCCCTGTTACCTTGGTGTTCACTTTTGCCTTTAAAATACCTGTTTTAACCTGTTCTATTAAATTCCCTCTCATCATATTTGAGAGGTTTCTCTTCCCACCTGGACTCGGACTGATGTAAACATTCTTGTACGTACATCAATGAAAATTAATTCTATTATTATAAAGTCATGCATAGTTGTCTAAATGGAATTTCCCACTTAAAATTCCTTTAGAATTTGATTAAAAAAATGAGCCTCCAGAGAGTTTACATGAATTAAACTCTCAATAAAAGTGAGTAAGAATAAGTATTTTCTCAGGCACACATCCTAACTCTGTCTTACTCTTTTTAAAAATACGTTTGAGCCTTATACTCCAAAATGGTATCTTACTTATTCATAATTTCCCCAAATTGGAAATTAAAGTCACTTGACTGGGAAAGAGAGAAGTGAAGTGTGGTAAATTCATACCGTGGAGTAGGACTTGGGAAATAAAAGCCAACAAGTGTATTGATACACTAAACAACATTAATGAATCTTAAGTGTATTGTACTAAGTAAAAGATAGCAGATTCATAAGATTACATACGGTAAGAGTCTATATATGTGACTTTCCAGAAAAGGCAAACTATAGGCATGAAGAAGAGATAGTAGCTGCCAAAGGTTAAGAAAGTTTGACTTCAAAAGGGTAGCATGAAGGAATTTTGGGAGCTGTGATGAAACAGTTCTGTATTTTGACTGTGGTGGTGGTTACACAGATCTATGCATTTGTCAAAATTCATAAAAGTACAGCAGAGTGAACTTTTGTACAGAAATTTAAAAAAAATTAAATCTCAATATCTTACATGTTTTTACTTAAACATTTGCATTTTTTCAATTCTCATAATGGACTTTTATATATATTTGTCATTCATTTTCATTTTATATACCTTTGTCATTCATTATCATACTAGTGCTTAGTTCTGTAGCCCATTTTAAGTTTTTCTTTCTATTGATTTAAAGATCTCTTTTTAAATTAATATATCTTTTCTTTCAAATAATAAAAATATAATTTTGTTTATTTGCTTTTAACTTTTTTAAAAAATAGAGCTGGGTTGTTTGTTTTTTATAATGTATCAGGTACTAAATTTATGGTTTCTATTTTTGGTGTCACAACTTGTCACCTCTATTTTTATTCACACTATTAGTGTTTTATTTTAAATCTGGAATCCATGTGAATTGTACCATGTGTGATCTGTGTACATAACTTTACTCCAAATTGTTGGGAAGGGATTGCTTTTGGAATATTTCATTCTTTCCTCAGCGCTTTGAAATGCTACATTTATTATACTACATTCAAAAAATACACTTAATCATGGCTTTGTTTCCATGAAGCAGATGCCAAACTATTTTTATTCGAGCAATATTATGCATATTGATACTTCCCAGGAATTTTTCTTTTTGAAATGTTTATTGTCTGCTAATTTAGATTTTTATTTATTCCAGATGAAGTTGAGAATGCTTTTGCAAAGTACACATTAAGATACACAAAAATCAAAGAGAAAAAAATACATGCAAGACTGTGAGATTCCTAGTGGAATGTTTTCAAAGAATATCGATTCTTTCTGTGAAAGGGTAGATCTTCATTTATTCAAGTAATCTTAATGTCTCCACAGAGGAAAGAATATGTTTATGTAAATGAATATATATTTTTGGAATGTGTCTGTTTTATGATTTGTCTACAATTTTCATTTATTGTTTTAATGATTTTTGATGAACTAGTTTCTTGACCCTGCCCTCGCCCCCTGGCTTTTCATTTTCTGAGAGAATCGCTGATGGTGTCGGATACTATTTTTTTTTTTAGGCATTCTTTTATTTTATTGATGGAATCTATTTCCTAGTATTTGAAAAAGTGAACGTGACATGCAGGTTCCCTTTCCGTGACCGCTCTGTGTCTGAATTGCACAGTTGCTGCACAAAGACCTCGGCTGTAATCCGTAAGCTGTGGGAAGTCCCTGACCGGCTCTGACTGCCTGGGGAACTATCTCAAGCGCCCCAGACTTTCACGTGCTGGGTAAATACTGCACTCTCAGCCAATCTCGCACCGCCCGTAGTGAGCAGGGAAAGGTCGTTCTCACTTGCAGCATTGATCGCAGGGACTGCCCGGTTCTGCGCAGGCCTGTTTCTGCGCATGCCTGGTCCCACCTCCTGTCTCCGTGCACTTCCGTCTTCCCCCCACACCCCGTTTTCTTCAGTTCTCGCGTGGGAGGCTATTCTCGGGCCGCTTATGCTCTGCGCTTTTCTGGGGCCGGTGCTTCACGACGACGGAGCGACAGGTGAGCCCGAGACGGTTGGACGAGGGCCGAGGGGTGCGCCGTGCTGCCCGGGGGTCGCGGGTCGGGGGTAGGCGGTCGGTGCCCGATAGTATGGAGGAGTTCGGCGGACCCCCCCGACGGCAGGATGGGGACGTCTGCATCAGGACTAGGGGTCGGGACCCCACGTGATCGGCCCCTGCGCGGAGCGTGCGGTGCTGTCCGTGGGGCCCCGTCCCGGAGGCCGCAGGAAGAGGGCGTGTGCGTGTGCACGGTGGGTGTCGGAACCGGTGGGAAGGGGACGGCGCTGCGGGGAGGGCGTTTGCCTACGCGGCGGGTGGTTGCGTGCGGTAGTCGGGGGAACGGGGTCCGCCTGCCGGGGCTGTGCGGTTACCACCCCGCCTCGGGGAGACCCCGTTCCCTCGGTTCTGCCTTTATCCTTCCTGGAGTCTGCGCTGCTCACCAGCCGTGCCCATCACTGCATCTTGATGTGCGCTGTTGCTCAGTCCTGACTTGCCCTGGCATTCAGGAAGGATCTTCAAGAATTCTGTTTCTGTCTCATTTAATATAAAAAAATCTTTCCCTCTTGAAGGTTACTGACTTGTTCAGAATCAGTTAGTGGCGAAGACTGAAAGTCTTGTCTCCTGACTCATGAGAGAGAACTCCCTGCTTTCCACGCAAGGAAAAGCAAATTACATTAAAAAGATCCTTTGAGAAACGGCAAGATACAGAAATTGAAACCTAGACCTTTCCTTAAAGCACTGCTTTTTATAGCTTTCTGTGGAATCACTAACCAAAGGTTTAGTAACAGGGAAATTGATAACAGATTAGTCGGGAGTATTTTTACAACAGTTTCGGTGAAGAGTTAATGTTACTTCACTGGGTGTATTGTTTAAACCAGTTTTTTTATTAAAAAAAAAATTTTGTGTGAGCATCAAGAGAAGTTTAAACTATTAAATCCTCAGGGAGCAAATATTTACATTTACCCAGCGGAAAATGTTATGCCCAGGAGCTACTACGTGATTATATCAGAGTCACGTTAGATGGGTGGTGTTTGAACATCTGAAGGTCAGAGGTACTGACATTCTTCTTCCTATCTATTGGGTATGTGTAGTTTTGTAGGGCAGGAGGATTCAGGAGCCCCCCGGGCAGGCCAGATCTTCCATGACCCCTCCCTCTTGTTGTAACCCAGCACGTCTTCAGAGTTGTCTACATTTTTCCAAGACAGCAGAAAATGAACAAATCCCAGGTAAGTTATTTATTCATTCCCCACTTTATTTTACAGTGGACTCTGTGAGATTTGTAGGACTCCATCTGTTAAGATGGGGAAAATTAGTAATAGATAAAAATGTAACTTTACAGAAAATATAAAGTAATAGATCAGAAGCAGGGCCAAGTTGGCTTGTAGATACGTACTGATCATTATGTATCTTAGAGTTTCTAAGTTGATTCACAAATACGTCTCTGATGTTTCTGATAGCCACGGAAAAAGGAAGACACTGTATTTTGGATACAGACAGAATTTTTTTTTAAACACAAGGACTTCTTGGAAGATATCTCTTTTGGTCTTAATATAGGGACACATAGTGGGTAACCTTCCAGTGACAGCCCTGAAATGAGTGCTTAAAACCGTCAAGAGATAGTTCAAGTAATTAATTTTACTTGTCTTGTTATTTTAGTAGTTAATTTTACTGGTCTTGTTTGATCCTGCTATGAAAGCTGGTATGTTTAGGAGAATGAATGGCCTGCAGGCCTGTTACAAAAACTCTCCGTAATGACTTTAGCCAGGTTGGGTATATAAGTTGCACAGCAGATGGTTCAGAGTTACATTCTCTGGTAAATGTGTCTGAGCTTCCCATTCAAATTCATCCCATAGAATTCTGTCCTGGTCTTTCCTCTCTGCTTTTTGGGATCTATCTAGGTAAAGGTGGCCAATGATTTAATTGTAATTGCTTTCCTTGAAGAACTGCTACATTATTCTCCTAGCAACTGATGGTGCACGTCTTCTTTGTCCTCTTCTGATACCAGTCTTCTGATAGCTCTTTCTTGGAGTCTTCCTCATTGTGCCCTATAGTTCAGTTCCAATTTTTCATCCTTTGTCTTTTTTTTTTTAACATGAACACTGAAAAAATATGAGAGTTGAGAGAGTAGAGAGTTGAACAATACTGTTCATTGTTTTGAGTACTTCTAAAAATGTATAAATTATCTTCGTGTATATATGATGGACATTTTTCCCCTCAGTTCACCAGTAATTTGAGATTGATCCATATGTAGTTTATCCCTTGTAATGCTCTATTTTTCCCACTGTATGGGTGCACTATATTCTAAATACTATATTTTATTGGTAGGCATTTAGGTAATTTCCACTTTTCATTACTATAAATACTGCTATGAATATCCGTGTTCTCTCTGCATAGATGCAAGTCTATCTCCAAACTCTGGAGCAGTGCTTCTCAAAGTTAGGTTCTTTGGCCAGAAATGGCAGCATCACCTCGAAACTCGTCTGAAATGCAGATTTTTATGTACCCTCCCAAACCTATTGGAACAGAAATTTGGGGGGCAAGGCCCAGCAATCCATATTTTTAACAAGGTGCCCATATGATGCTGATACACATCAAATTTAAGAATTATTGCTCTAAAGTCCAATGATTAGTATTTTTGAGTTACAGGATATGAGGATTTCTAATTTTTCTAGGTAAACTTATTCATTAGAAGATGACTTCCTCCCTTCTCTCCAGACATAAAAATTATTTTTATACTAAAGAGTGTAAAACGTCACTGTTTAATTTCTACTTTTCTGATTATTGAGTTTGTGCAACTTTCATAAACCTATGGCTTTTTAAGTTGTTTCAGCCTGAGTTTAAGAATTCCCTATGTATTTTTTTTTTATTTTTTTAAGATTTTATATATTTATTTGACAGAGAGAGAATGAGAGAGCACATGAGAGGGGGGAGGGTCAGAGGGAGAAGCAGACTCCCTGCCGAGCAGGGAGCCCGATGCGGGACTCGATCCAAGGACTCTAGGATCATGACCTGAGCCGAAGGCAGTCGCTTAACCAACTGAGCCACCCAGGCGCCCCTTCCCTATGTATTTTAAATGCTAATCTTTTGTTATAATTACTAATTATTTTCTCTTCATATGCTTTGTCATAATAGTATCCTTTCTGAAAGTTTTACATTGTGATACAACCCTCTTATGTCTTGTTTTTTTATTCTTGTTTTTCTGACCCCATGGGCCTAATGAAGTTTTTATATATCCTGTCTTTTTTCTAATAAGACTTTTCTTTAAAATTTAGTACCTTAATCCAGAATTTTTTTAGTATAATGTGATGAAAAGGATCTGATTTTGTATTTGTCCATCTAAAAAAATAAGCAGCACAATGAAAGGACTAACACAATACGTGTGAATGGGAATGCTATGCATGCTGCTGGTTTTGGACTGAGGTAGATTTTGTCATGTTCACAAAGTATCCTTGAGTCTTATTTTATTGAAAATTAGAGTTTAATTTTTCCAAATGCTTTCTTAACATTTTACGGGAATAATGATATTTTTCTTTTTAGATCTATTGAATTACATTTCCACATTTCTTAATAACTAATCTTTGTGTTCTAAAACAAGTCCCACTTGGTCAAAAAGTGTTACTCTTTTGGTGATCACTGTAGTTCTGTCTGTCAGTATTTTTTTCCATAAACTTGTCTATAGTATTCTTAATGATTTTAAAATATTTAATTTTATTTTGCTCGTATGTGGAATTTAAGAAACAAAACAGATGAATGTATGGGAGGGGGGGAAAGAGAGGGAAACAAGCCATAAGAGACTCTTAAAGACAGAACAAACTGAGGGTTGATGGAGGGAGGTGGGTGGGGATGGACTGTATGGGTGATGGTATTAAAGAGGGCACTTGTGATGAGCACTGGGTGTTGTATGCAAGTGATGAATCATTAAATTCTATTCCTGAAACCAATATTGCACTCTATGTTAACTACCTAGAATTTAAATAAAAATTTGGGGAAAAAATAAAAATGTTTAATTTGTTCCTTTTTTTTTAAAGATTTTATTTTATTTATTTGACAGAGACAGCGAGAGAGGGAACACAAGCAGGGGGAGAGGGAGAGGGAGAAGCAGGCTTCCCGC